CTATAGCAGGTGCCCAGTGTTGTTTGGATTTGGAAAACACAGTGTTTAAACAAATGGAGTTGTGGTGGGGCTGCGGTGGGTGGGAGGGAGGCTGGAGCCCTGCACACGGTGGGGTGCGCGAAGGGCGGGTTGGAGCGCTCTCGGGGAGGAAGGGGGCTGCTGGTCATTGGCTGTTAGGGGTGGGGTCATGGCCCAGAGAGAAGGGGGCTCGGTTGGTTGCCAGGTTTGAGCGCAGTGGGCCAGTGAGCTGTAGACTCCTGAGCTCTTTGTGCAGTTCTAAAATGCACCGTTATTTTATGAATCACTAAAGGAAAAAATAGTGTCAGTTAGACAGACCAGGACTGCCAGTTCACTTTCAGTGTTAAATGTAAGATCCTAGAATTCAGGTTATGAGGGACCTCCTTATGACGGCTTGTTTTGTTTCTTGTACGTTTTTATACATCTGTAATCTTTGACACACAGTCAGCCACTCAGCATGTAATCATTCACTCGGCCTCTTCCTGGCCACAGTGACAAGGTAGTGAGGAGGCAGTCTCTGCCCTCAGCGTGTACTGTGCTTGCCGGAGGCCGATGAGATCAAATCGGCAGAAGAAAGTTAAGGTTACAGCGGTTTTAAGTGCTGAGGAAAAGGACTCGGAGGGGCGGTTTAGGGCGGAGTAGGTTGGAGATGGGGAGGCCGAGTAGGCGCTTGGAGTGTCCGGAGGAGCCTGATCTCGCCTGTGGAGGGTGGGGGTGTGCTTGGAGATGTTGGGGGTTGGGCGGTGCGTTAGGCGTGAGCAGCGAGGGAGGGGAGGATGTCCCTGGCCACCCCGAGGGCTGAGCCCCTGTGCCTGGGCAGGCTGCGTGGGTCACTGAGACAGAACACTCAGCCAGAGCCAGGTTTAGGAGGAGGTACTTTGCTTTTTAGTATTTTTCATTGTGGCACCGGTGTTCAAGGTTAGTTGCTTAGTTATTTTTCTCTTTCGTGTTTCAGTTTGGTATATTTGAATACTGGGGTGTTTACAGTACATTTTCTGGTTTGGTTTTTTTTCTCAAATGAGCAGGGGTGAAGTTCTGGATGAAAGGTTGGTATGTGTTTTGGACCTAATGTAATATATTCTAACCGAGTATTTGAGTAGCTTGCTTGGGATTTAGCAGTAAGTTGGGCATCTGGTTAAATTCTAACTTCATTCTGTTGGTGCGAATATAAATGCAGTTGTACATCAGGGAATAAAGACATACTTTTGATTTTTTTCCTTGAAATGTTTCATCTGTTTAATTTTTGAGAGATACTAGATCAATACAGTCAGTTTAAATTCTGTATTTCACAGTAAGTGACAGAGTCTGTAAACAGAGAGTGTGGGCTTTGGAGTCAGATACCTAAATCCCAAGGCTCTGGCTGTTACTAGCATTGAGACCTTGCAGTAGTTATGTAGCATTTCCACAATTTTGTTGTTTTATTTACAAGTTGTGGATAATAGTTTTATCCTTGTGAGATTAAAGGAGATGATGAGCCTGCACCTTTGTCCACAGTGTTTACTGTTACAGTAACAGCAGGTCTGAGATCCTCTAGATTTCTGTGACAGTGCGTTAGAGTTGGGGCTGTGCATGAATAGTAAAACTCAAATTGAGAAAAAGTTTGCTGGCTAGTTGGGTTTGATTTGGAGAAAATCTTGTGTCAGACGATTTGCATATCTCCTGTTGTCTGAGGTGGGTCAGCTTCTGTCCGTCCCAGAATTCTCAGCAGGGATTGTGTTCAGTCTGCAGCTGTGATAGAAACCCGATGCTGGATTGCTTTGATTACTTAGTATTTGTTAGAATTATCATCTTTATTTTCAGTCAGCCCCCCCCCCCCCGCCCTTGTTGCTGGGCATTGAACCAAGGGAGCCCTGGACCGCATCCCCAGTACTTTTTTTCTTATTTTGAGATAAGTTCTTGCTAAATTAAGCTGGCTGGTTTGAACCTGGAAGTCCTCCTGCCTCAGCCTCTAGAGTAGCTGTGATTACAGTCATGTGCCACCATGGCTGAGTTAGCTAAACTTTTTGGGCCTTTGCACTTACTTTTAGACCTAGTGGGAAGGGTGAAGAAGTAGGCATTATAGAGTCTGATCGGCTGCTCTGAAGAAGTCAACTTAATTTTCACCCCAGTGTTTTCCTCCAACTTTTTTTCTTTTGAAAGTTTCAAATCTATAAAAAAGTTGAAAATAGTACAAGAAATATCTGTGCTGTGTGAGTAATCCTTCTCCTAGATTGCTAAGGTGGTAACACGTGCCTCACACGGCTCCCTCGTGTAAGTGCTCTCTGAATTTGAGTATGCACGAGTATTTTTTTTCCTGCTGAATTATGTAAGAGTAAAGGTGGAAGCATCATGGCATTTCACCCTAAGGGCTGCGTCCTGTCTTCTGAGAATTGGGACTCACTCCTGCATCGCTGGGATGGTGTTGGCGTACCCAGATAGTTTAACCTTCATATGGTGTTAGCATAGGCAGCCTGCAAAATGTAGGGTTTTCCAAGTGTTCCAGTAATGCCATTATAGGCTTACAAAATACTGAGTCCAGCTGGAAATCATGAATTGTATGTGTCTCTGTTTTATCTGTAACAGTTCCCCTCCACCACAGGGCCTCCAGCCTCACCCATGCTAGGCGAGTGTTCTACCCTCCATCGACACTGTCATTTTTAGTCTAGACCAGTAGTTGTGTAGGATACCACACAAAACTGATATATCTGACAATTCCTCACAATTAATTTCCAGTGTAGCAGTTTTTCAGCTCTGACTTAGGTGATGTGAACTTTCCATTTCATCCCATTGAGGAATATGATAGTTTGTCCTGTCATTGGTGATGTTAAGATCAGTCATTAAGATTAGCCAGATGTTTACATTCTAGAGGTATGTTTTTCTTTTCATGTTTAATAGTTAATCTATAGTGTACTTTATGATCCTGTAAACTTTCTGTTTTTCAGCAATTTTTTTCTATCCAGTTATTTTGATGCCATTGATAATTTTTGCCTGAATCAGTCAGTGCATTGGGAATTGCCAAATAGTGACTTCCCAGTTGTGCTGTTGCTTTTACACATATTGTCTGGCTGGCCTCTCCAAGGAAGAGCTCCCTGCCCCATCCCCACCTTGGTGGGTTTTTGTTTTTTTGTTTGTTTTGTTTTGTTTTGCTTGTTTGTTTCCACTGGGTATTGAACCCAGGGCCCTCACACTGAGCTACGTCTCTGGTCTTTTTCACTTTTTGAGACGGGGCCTGCTAAGTTGCCTAGGCTGGGCTCGAACTTTCAATCCTTCTGCCTCAGCCTCCCAGGATGCTGGATTATAGGCATGTGCCACCATGCTCTACTCGTCTCTGCTTTTATTTATTTATTTATTTATTCTTTTATCTCTCTGCTTTTATTTTGTTATCTCTGTGTGGTTAAAATTGGTCAGTGGCAGTTCCTCAGGCTGGCTGCTGTGGCCTTTGGCTATGCCCAGTTGCCATCTGAGTACATTTTACTATTTTGTATGGTAAGATGTTCTGAACTCCCCAGGTACCTTCCCTGCTCCAGACCCACAATTCAGCTGTTTTATCGTGGAGTCCATGTTCCTTTTAGTGTGAAGTGACACTGAGAATTCAGTGTCTGGCCTTTGAACATCCTCATTGCTGCTGGATAGCATTGCTTCTAAACTCTTTAAATACAGACGCGCGCACAGACACATACACATACACACACACACCCACACCCACACACCCCCACCCACCCCCGCATGCACGCTTCTTAAATCATGAATTCACAGAATACCTTCAACTCAAAATCACTAAGGAGTTCACCTCCCTCTAAAACATATTAACCTCTCCTTTTTCCTTGGGAGAACTCAGATTCTCAACCGTATCAATATATTTACTCATCTACTCTCCCCTTGTACACACAAGATACTTTCGAAGTCACTAGACCATTATTGCCTCAGTGACCACCCAACGAGGGAAGATTTCTTTGCCATTTTAGGCCCTTAGATTTATTCCACTAGAGGCACATCGTTAAATGCCAGTAGATGTTCAGAATTACTGGAATTATTGTTATCGACTTAAAATGTAGTTAGGTTGTACTAAACTATTTTTAGTAGACTTTGTAAAATTAGTTACCTGTAAAATTAAAGTAGGGATAATTTAAAACATTATCATAATATCTGACTATAAGGGACTCTAGAGCAGCTGAAGAATGTGTGTGTGAATGTTCTAACTTGTGAAGATTTAAACTGTGGCTCTGCTTTCCAGTTGATATAGCATCATTTAAAACTAGGAATGACAGGAAAACTGACATCAGCCAATTCTGTTTGTAAGCCAAGGCAGTTGTGTTTGTGAACAGTTTAAACAATACTCTTCTTTGGACCGATGGTACAATTCAAGCATTAATCTTTAACAATAGACATAACTGTTGAAAATACTTCAGCCCATTTTGAAGTAATATGTCTAGTGTTTTTCTGTGTTTTCAGAATAGAAATATTTGTCATTTGCATGTCCTTGTTCTTTGTATTTGAAGAATACCAGTTGTGACTGTATTATACCCTGTGATTTCATTCATGTATTAATCTTCTCATTGGAAAGAGGGAAACATTTCTCTTTTTATAGCATTTGATGTCTGTTCTGAGATATGTAGCCACTTTTAGCTGGGTTTATGGTTAGCTATAAACATCTTTCTTATTAGAATATAAGGTTAATTAGGGCAGGAACTAAGTTTCATGGCTCATTTTATCTCCATCAGTGCCTTGCTAAAGCAGATACTCAAGTATTTGATGGACAAATGTTATATTTTGTATGTATTTTTAATTTTTATTTTTAAAATTGTATTTTGTGTCTATGTGCCATCCGTAGTGATTCTGTCGAGCTTGGGGGACAGATCCATACACACCTTGCATCCCTGTTGGTTTTCCTCCCTCTCTTTCCCCAGCCTTCCCATTCCCCTCCTCATCTCTGCTGAGTCTCTCTCCCTGTTTCTTAACGTGGCTCTTTTATGTTGCTCTTTACATTATTTATATTTTTGAGTCTCTCATATTAGAGAGCCATGCAATATTTAACCTTCTGCAGGAAAATGGATGCATCTTGAGACCATAATACTGAGTGAAGTAAGGTATTTTGTATTTAGATGACATGTAGCTACGAGCCTCAGCGATTTAAAACTATGAGCCACACCTTTTTCTTAGCAAGAGTAACTAATAAAATGGGAAAGATCTCATCCATATTTACTTGTTACAAACCTGAAAATCACTCTTAAACTGAATTCCCCATTTTCATCTTAGCCTTCTTCACTTGGGCTCCCTGTTTGTATTGATGGAAACTTGTCCCCTTGGATACCAGACCTGAAACCTCAGGGTCCCTTTTGTCTTCTCTCACGTGCGTGTGAGCATACACACTCATACGTTTGTGTGATATTGCTGGGTATGTTCTTTCACCTTGTTGTTTGTGTTTTCTCATTTCTAATCCACTTACTGCCCCGATTGAGGGTCTTACCACCACTCATTTAGTCTTCTGACTAGTTAGTTAAAGAATTGGGGATATTTAAGGTGGAGAAGGAAAGATTGGAGGAGAGCGGATTAGGAAGTATGTTTCTAAATGTCAGCTGGATTGTCAAGTGGAAGGAGAGAATACACAGGACATCAGTGGACATTACAGGGGACAGAACTTTGCTTCCATATGCCATCTTTCCATCAAGCGTAGTTGTTTAAAATTAGCGCGGTTCATGTAGTTACTATGGGCGCTCTAGAACAGTTGCAGTTAAAACATGACCGATTTTAAACATGCGGTGGTATTTTCAGTTTGTGCCGTGCTCACCCAGTCCTGAGCCCCTGTCTGCAAGTGTGGCAGAGCCGAAGGAGCCCCGGGTCGGGCTCATTACTGCAGGTCACTCTGGGCACTTGAACCCGATTAGCAGTTAATGTTAGGGCCTCTGAACAAGACACGGAGAGATTCCTTGGGATGGGATGATATTTTTTCAGTCGTTTAAATTGACACACTTTCTTTCACTGCTCCTCTCCACCTAATCACTGTTGATGATGGAGAGATCACTAATAGATGGGTGTGCATTGTACAGGAGTAGTGGTCAAAACTACTGTTACCCTGTGTAGTTACTATTAATGCTTTGTGAGTTCTCTTTCAATCCTGACATTCTGACACCTTCAGTCCTTATAGGGCTTGATTATGTTTTGTTGATTAAATGATTTGTTTGACTTCTTGTGTTACTTATATTCAGACTGCACATGTAATAGCTTGGAAAGTTGCATTTTAAAGTATGGATGCTCCAGACATTTGTGGTTACATTGGATTCATCAGAGGTTACTAAGATTCTGGCATAATTGAAATTTGTTTATCAAGCTATAGCAAGAGTTATGTTCTTCACAGAGTGAGATCAGGGCTTCAGAGAAGCCCGTCTTCAGCCATGCAGATAGCAGCAGCAGTGCCTCCTGCAGCCATAGGGCCCATTGAGTCACTGGCGCTCTTTACCCCCTTTCTCTGGTTACAGGCTTGACGTGCAGTGCTGCCACACGTGTGCATGTGTGAGGGGAACGGATACCATGCTCGGTACTGCTTTTCTCCTGCGTGTGTTTCACCTTTTATGTCTGAGAAGGAAAGGATTACATTTTATTTAAGTCATCACTATAAAGTAGCTGTGCATGGACACAGGGCTTTTAACTAATGGGTGTACTCTGAGGCCCTTTAAGAGTGTTTATAACATGTGTCCTTAGGGCAGAACTCTTCCTGTCTGCTGTCAGCCCTTTATTCTCCTTTTAAAACCTTTTTCTGAACATGCATGCTCTGCTCATACCATGTTGCTATTCCTGTCTTACTGTTATCTATCTTGCCTAACTTAGCTCTAAAAGGGTCCTCTGTCTCTGTCTCTCTCTCTCTCTCGCTAACTCTACATATTAACTTACCAGTATATATTTGAAGTTCTTTTTTTTTTCTGGTACCGGGGATCGAACTCAGGACCTTGTGCTTGGAGGCAGGCTACATCCCTGGCCCCTTGAAGTTCTTCATAGTTACAGACAGTTGGGGAACTGGTACATATACACTCTGCACCTTAATCACTTTTACTTCCCCTTCCCCGCCTACCCTATCCTCTTCACCCTCCTTTCTTCTTCTCTGTTTATTACTGCATGTTTGTGGTACACAAAGATGAACATTTGCTGTGGGGAGTCGGTACCTAAGGATGTCACATCTTAGTCCTTTTTACTTCCTCTTCCCTTCAACCTTTTCTTACATCTGCCCTTACCACTTCCTTTTTTTTTTTCACTAAGCATTCTGGGCCCATGGGCATCTTTTGAAGAGAATTTATAATCTAAACAGGTTTTAGAGTACAGGTTCAGGTATGAAAGATCAGCAGGTGTAGAAGAAGGAAGAATAGAAGTGGACACATTGATGTTTCTGTAAACAAAAAACTGAAATGAAGAGAAGAAATTAAGAGCAGAGATGATAGCTGATAAGCTATTGATACTTGTTACTAAAAATGCAAACATGTAGAAAAGATTATAATAGAAGAAAAACTTAGAGTAGACCCTCACTCAGTTCATTTTATTTTATGACATGGTTAAAAGCTCATCAAAAATTCTAAATCAATATCTGAATTTCATCTTGCTATACTATTTGAGGATGTCCAGGCATATACAAATACCGAAAGCCTGCATGCTTATCCACTGTCCAGTGTGACTTAGATGTGTTCTGTATAATCAGCTCCTAAGTGCTGTGGGGACTTTAAATCCCAGGTGACCTTAAATCTTCAATGGTAAAACATATCTGTTGGCAGATGGCACAGGCCGATTGCCTTCACCCATCCTTCAAGTCCATCGACTCGAGCACGTGCCTCAGACTTGTTCATGTTGGGAAGATGACATCCGGTGTCAGTTGATTTTCACACGAAGCGTTGATGATTTGCCTTTCACGAGAACTCTGCTCAGGCCCCAGCCTGCTTTTGGTACAGTATAGCTTAAGGCTTATCTAGATAGCGTGATTTGTGTTCACTGAGCTAGGGTTACACAGAGTTTTCTTCTCTAATTAGAGATGTGTCAGAATGTAAGCAGTGAACAGAAACATGGAGAAGGTGGATGGTGAGATCTGGTAGAATATGTATGAGTAAAGAATGCATATTTTTTCTGAACATTCTGTCTGAAAAAAGATTTAGTGGTTGCCCTAAAGTTTTAAGAAATACACTAGAAGTGCTTTCTGAAAAAGTAATTTGGAGGTTGTGGAAAATGTTATTTTGGTGGTTTTCCAGACTGAGGCTTGTACCACCAGAATAAACAAGGACTTTGGCAGGATCAGTTTGGTCGTGGGTCAGCCCGAGCAGGAAGTGTCTTGTTCCTGGAGGGCTTGAGGTACTCTGGGTAATGGCGAAATCAGCACTGTGTGCTGTGGACAGGTGGCTGTCTTCAGAAGGGTCTTGGTAGGGAGCCAGCCGGGCGAACTCCTGGCCTTCTGGCCTTTGCCTCTTAGGTGCACAGTGCTGTCTTTAGTGCCTGTCTTTAGACAGGTGAATTTTAACTCACTTTAAGTTTATTTTTAAGACTAGAGAAGTTTTTGGAATGGGAGTTTGTGGATGAAGATATTTCAGAATTCTGGAATGACACTGTTCTTACTCTTAGGGTTCTTTGTGGTTTCCTCTTTTGTGTTTCTTTTGCTCATTTGATGTTAAAAGTGTTAAGTATTGTTTGTTTTGCTTTTCCTGGGCTCATCTCACACAAATGGAAAGAATAGACTGAACAAACTGAATGTTAATTTATTCTTTTTCCTCTTTCCAAATCTCATGACACTTATTTTAAGGTGAAACAAAAATTGTGAATAACAAAGAATATCCTTTAAGTAATTTTAGTCAAAGCTGCCCTGGGGAATTAAATTAAGGAAGTGAAGTTTTCACATGACTAAATAGCTGAATCTGGTGGCTTTGAGAACTGTAAGAATAGAGTTGTTCACCATAAAAACACAAATAAAAAATGGCTCAGCTTTTAAAAAAATCTGTAAGCTATTTTTTATTTTGAGACAGAGTCTCACTAAGTCACTACGTTGCCCAGTCTGGGCTTGAACTTTCAATCCTGCCTTGGCCTCCTAGAGTGCTGAGAATGCAGCTGTGTGCCACTACGCCCAACCTGAGTAATTTATTTTCACATAATTTTGTTATTTTAAAAGAGGCTTATGTGAACAATTTAAATACTGAAGAGAACCACAAAGAGCTTCTTTTAACGTCATTGATATTTTACATATTAGGGGCTTTAACCCTTTGAATATGCAGTAAGAATTGAATTTTTATTGTTTGTTGGGATTCTAACTCAGCCTTGTCATGCTGTTTTTCTTCTTCCTCTGCAGATGCTTTCATTTTTATGTGATTATGTTTTTCTTCCTGACTTCTGGTTTTTCACACCATGCTATATCAAAATTGTTTAGATTATTTTAATCTGTCTTTCTTGTAGCATACACACATATGCTCTGGTGTTGCATTTGCATTTTGGATTCATTTTAAATTCATAATGTGTGAGGTAGTCATCAGCCTTTACTTTTAAGCTGGCTTGCTTATTATTCTAGTATTATTAAATTAGCCATTTTTTCTCACTGATGTGAAATATCATATCAGGTACTAAATTCTCAAATATGCTTGGGTGTATTTCTATATCCCCTATTATGTTTTATTTGGTGTCATCTTGTGCTAATAAGAATAATAAATTTAATTAGTACTGAAGTTTAATTACTGTGGTCTTATAATGAGTCTAATATGCAGTAAGGCAAATCTCATTAGGTATTTTTGGTTATTCCTTTATAAAGTGTCTCAATTTATAACACTTTTCAACATGGTTCAAGGGATCACCTTTCAAAATAGTCTCTGCTCTAGTTTTAGAAACAGTCATTTAAAGTTTTTGTTATAAAGTAAGTTTCAATCTTTATGAAAGAATGGAGGGCCAGGGGTTTGGCTCGGTGGTTCCACCGCCTGCCTTGCAGGCGCTGGGTCCTGAGTTTGATCCCGGGTACCAAAAAGAAAGAATGGAATTCAATTTTAGTCATATGAAAAATAGCTCTACTGAATTATTAAATGAGTGACAACTTATCTTTAGTTCAATCCTGTGATGATTCTGTTATTCTCAATACTCTCTATAACAATGACAATAAAAGTACTCTTATGGAATAGTTAAGGATATGGTCCAGAAACATTTCAAATGTCTCACATTTGGGGATAAAATATTCTGAGTAAATAGTCTACGTAGCAGGAATTTTAGCTAAAAATAACAAAAAGGAAGAAATCAGCAATTTAGCCCACTGTAAATTCCTTGAGGTCAGGATATCGCCTGTTAATTTCTGTGTCTGTGGTCGCATTTTGCCTGCTTGTTGGTTTGTTTAGGAGGATCGTCTGCGTGCAGACTGCCCTGGGAGCCGCCTCATTAGGCCCTGTCCTTTGACTCCCTGACTCCTGCCAAGGACCGGCCCAAGTGCTGGCTTCTGGCACTGGGAACTGCAGAACCAGTCTCCTGTGGCCTACATTTTCTGCTTTAGGAAGAGATACATGCATGTACATTCTCTTAAAACTTCTGGATTTAGAAGATTCGAGGTTGGTGGCTTTTAAAAAACTTTAAATTCTAAAAAAATTTGTGTTCTTTGGATAATGTTCAGAAAATGTGGACAATCATGATATAAAAGTAATGGCAGAGGGAAATTGTTGTTAACATTTTGGTGTACTTCTTTCTAACCCTCCTCCACCCGTGCTTTGTGGTACGCAAGCTTCAGATTTATGTGGTGCCCCACTTTGACAAACCCCTCGGAGACGTGCAATGGACATGTAACCTGTCACGTAGATGCACTCTGTATCATTCACACATTTTATAGACTCTTTTTGCTTTTCCAAATTTTGCCAAATATGTATGCAGTTTTCTTGAAGAAAAATTTTGTTTCATTTTCTTTATTTTAGCTGAAAACATTCTCATTCTGGTGAGAGTGCTACTAGCAATATGGAGTATCTGTATTTCATTAGTTTATCAGTTCATTTCAGATGCATGCCAGGCAGGATTTAAGACATCCCAAGATATTTAATGTCCAGTGTAAGAGACAGGGAGGAAACAGGTAATTGCAGGCTACAGTAGTGTAACGGGGCTGTGGTGGTGCCGCCCAAGGGGCCTGGGGGAACTCCTTGCTGCTATGGAAAACCATACACACAGAATCTGGCTCTGGTGTTCCTGTATGGCCTTCCCTGCTCTGAGGAGAGGGAACAAAATTCTCACCCTGGTCTGCAAGGCCCTGTGAGCTCCAGCCCTGCAGTGCAACTGAAGCCTCGCCTCTCGGACTCTGTGCTGTGGACATACTGGCTTTCCAGAATTCCTCCAGTAGATCATGTTTTCTCCGCCCTAGACCTGTAAGGTATAATGGCTTTGAATACAAATTATAAAACAGAATGCCTATTCTTGAGAGAAATGAATGTATCAATAATTCTGAGTATGTATTTATAACACTAAAAGGCTAATGTTCTGTGCAGCATTCTTTTCTTAAAAAGTAAACTGTGTGAATTATTTCAAATAAGCACAAGCATTTTCAGTTATAATTTGTTCCTTTTTCAGATTTTATCACATACCTCAGTTTTCCCTTAAGTGAAGTTATGGAGCACACACTTAGGAGCTACATTTAATTTGATTTTAAAGTAAGAAAACATTTGCTGTTACAAATTTAAGCCATTCCTGTGTTTTAAAAAATGCTTTAGTGGGCTGGGAATTGAGCTCAGTGGTGTTGCCCCTGCCTGGCCAGCACAAGGTCCTGAGTTTGATCCCCAGTACCCACTCCCCCGAAAGAAAAGAAAAGAAAAAAAAATGCTTTAGTGTTGAGATACGAAGGACATGTAGAAAATGCCATAATTTAAAAAGTAAAGTGAAATAAGTAGGCTATATATGGAAATAGTGACTTAATATAAGTGGAAATCTCCATTCTGAAGATAGTGAACATTTTTAATAAGATCTCAAATCACTTTCTCTAATTACAACTAAAAATCTTAACTATTGTTACAGGCCTCAGAGCTGAGCTGCATTTACTGTGGCCGCTTGTGAGTGATGGGGAGGTTATGTTTTGGCGTTGGGTGATGATTATGCTGTTACATGTTTGGTATTGAATGCTTTCTATGGTTAAGATACAGAGCATCATATTCTATAAGACTTCTGCTTCCAAAAGAGCAATTGGTCTGCTCATTTTCACTTCAAATTGTATTTAATCATTTAAGTAACTTCATCAGTCTGGCACCATATAATATGTACCTTACTTTTCCTTAATTTTTAAAGTCAGTACAGAAGAATGCAATCAAGTGATGGCTTTTTCGTTAGAATTTGAATATGGAGGCTACGGGGACAGATGAAGTTGACAAACTAAAAACTAAATTTATATCTGCTTGGAACAACATGAAGTATAGTAAGTATCATGACGTAAGAATTACATAAATCCAAAGAAGTAGATGTAGACCTGTGTCATCTTCCTTAAATCACTGAGGATGACTTGAGAATGAATGAAATACGCTGTCTTAAATGGAATATTTTTCTGTAAGTTACATAGCTAAGAATCTCTTAAAGAGACTGTCATGACGAACATTGCTTAGAAACTCAGATTTACTGTGTGATTCTCTTTTTCTCCCTAACTCGATGGAGTGTATTGGTATGCATACAGTTTATGTACTTTCTTTTAGCATCCCAGAGCAGACAAAATTTATTCAAGTGATGACGATACCTCAGTTCTTCAGATTCAGCTCCAGGCAGTCTTGTGACTGACCAGGCAGTCAGCAAAACTGACCTCAACACAAAAACAAGTAGTGTCAATTTCATGCCCTGCTACTACTGCCTCTTCTCCTGCATCAACCCTCAGGCTTTTATTTATTTATTTATTTTTTCTTTTTGGTATTGAGGATTGAACTCTGGACCTTGCGCTTGTGAGGCAGGCAGCCAAACCACTGAGCCAATCCCTGGCCCAGGCTTTTATTTTTTGACCTAATTACTCTTAGCAAACAAAATCCAAACAAACAAATCCATAAGGATTGTTGGAGGTGAAGGAGTCCTCAGGATGGAGAAGTACTCAGGCAGAACTAGTGTTAACAGGAAGAAATTCATACCCATTAAACAGGAATGACAACAAAATTCAGTAAAAGCCCTGGGTTATGCCAATTCTGGTAAAACATAATTGACATTTGCCTCCTGGTCAACTGAAAGTGATAGCCAGACAGCTGGACAGACAGCTGTAACTTGGCAATAGCATGACATTGCAGCATGAAGATTTTGAACATCATTTTGTTTTACAATGAGATATATTGCACATACTATAAATTGTACCTTTTTAAAGTGTACAGTTTTTTTTTTATGAAGAACCAACTCTTGGGTTCATTGATTTTTAAAAAGAAATTCTTTTATTGGTACATTTTAGGTATACAGTACATTTACATTTCTCATTGGGAACTTGTACCTTTACATGATGTTTCATAGTTCTTATTTTTTTCCAAAAGTGTACAATTTTTATTTATTTACTTTTTGTGGTGTAAGGGATTGAATCCAGGACCTAATGCATGCTGAGCATATGCTCTACCAGTGAGCTACACCCTCAGCCCCAATTAAAAAAGAAGTACTACTCAGTGGTTTTTAGAATCATCACTAGTTCTAGAGCATTTTCATCATCCCCCAAAGCTACCTTGTACCTATTAGCAGGCATTTCCTATTCCCAGTTCACTTTGTTCTATGGATTTCACTGTTCTGGACATGTCATATAAATGGAACCACACAATTTGTGACCTTTTATGTCAGGCCCCTGTCAGCACAATGTTTTCAAAGTTCATCCATGTTGATAGCATGTATGTATCAGAACTTCATTTTTTATATGACTGCATAATTTCATTGTATGGCTACCATATTTTGTTTACCTTTCATCAGTTGATGTACATTTGAGTCATTTCTGTTTTGGCTGTTATGAGTAGTGCTGCCATGAACATTTGTGTACAAGTTTTTGTGTGAATGTATCTTTTTAAGTCTTTGTACACTGGGTTTATTGTAGCAGTAGAATTGCTTGGTCATATGTTTAACTTTCGATGAACTGCTGGCTGTTCCAGAGTGGCTGTACATTTTATATTCCCTTCAGCAATGTTAGGGATTGAAGTTTATTCACGTTCTCCCCAGTACTTGTTATTGGCCATCTTTTTTATGTGAACCATTCCAGTGGGTGTGAAGTGAACTCTCACTCGGGGTTTGGTTTGCATTTTGCTGATGACTAGTTATGGTTAGCCTCTTTTCGTGACCTGGTTGTATATCATGTCTGGTTGTATATCTGCTTTGGATAAATGTCTATTCAGACCCTTTGCCCATCTTGTAATTCAGTTGACTTAAAAAAAAATTGTGTTGTGAGTGTCCTTTATGTATTCTAGCCACAAATCCCTTAGCAAATACATGATTTGTACATATTTTCTCCCATTCTTGCATTTTTTTGTCACTTCCATGAGAGTAACCATTGAAGTGCAAAGCTTTAATTTTGATGAAGTCCAGTTTATCTATTTTGTCTTTGGTTGCTTATGCTTTTGATGTCATAATAAAGAAACTTTCTTAAATCAAGATCATGAAAATTTATACATGTGTTTACTTCTGAGAGTTTTGTTTTAGGTCTTACATTTAGGTTTTTGATCCATTTTGAATTAATTTTTGCATATGGAATAAGATAGGGGTCCAGCTTTATTGTGTTATATGTTGCTATCTAGTTTTCTTAGCATCATTTGTTGAAAAGTTTCATTTCTCCACTGAATGATCTTCACACATCTGTCTAAAATCAACTGACCATACATAGGTGTATGGGTTTATTTCTGGACTCTGAGTTCTATTCCATTTATCTCTCTGTTTATCTTTTTTTTTTTTTTTTTTGGTACCAGGGATCGAACTCCGGTCTTTGCACTTGCACAGCAGGCGGCGAAACCACTGAGCTAAATCCCTGGCCCTCTATGCTTATCTTTATGCCTGTACTGCACTGTCATGGTTACTATAGCTTTTTAGTAAAGTATGAAATTGGAAAGTGAGCCTTTCAGCTTTGTTTTTTCTTTCCAAATTTGTTTTGGTTATTCTGGATCATTTACATTTTGATATGAATTTTATGATCACCTTGTCAATTTCTGTAAGAAAGCCAGCTGGGATTTTGATAGGGATCTGACTGAATCTATAAATCAATTTCAGGAATATTGCCATTTTAACAATATGAAGCCATCCAGGGCCGGGGATTTAGCTCAGTGGTTCTGCCGCCTGCCTCGCAAGCGCAATGACCTGAGTTCGATCCCCAGTACCAAAACTAAAACAAAACAAAAAAAACAATATGAAGCCATCAAATTGATTCACTTGGATGTCTTCCCATTTATTACTTTTCAAATTTACTTTAGTGATTTTAGTATCTTCTGTTTCCTGTTTTCCTTCTTGTGTATCTTCCTTTCTCATTGTTTGTGTAGAGTGAGTAATGCAGGAAGGATTGGTGTCGACTGAGTGCCCACTGTGGACAGGGCTTTGTAGTAGCTGCTCCCCTCACGATGGTCCTGAGAGAGGACAGGAGGCTGAGGTCCCGGGTCCCTGGTGGCCCCGGAGGCCTAACTTGGAGGAGGCACCCAGGCAGGGCTCCTGAAGGGTTCACTACTTCTCAGCAGCGCCATCTGCTGGGCACCAGTCCCTCAACACATGGCCCTGTGAGGGATGCTGAACACCCAAACTGTTGACATGTTTTGTTTTTAATAAATTAGAAAACAGATTTTGCAGCATGTTCAAAGTCATATATCTGGAAACTAGGATTCAGATCCAGCATTCCTGTTCCCCAGTTGGGCCCTCTCTGAGTATAGTGTGTGTAATTAGGGTTATTTTCATTAAAGTCAGTGTTATGATGTGAGGATAACTGTGCTTTCTTGAAAATGTCTTTTGTGTTTTGAGTTTTTCTCCCCTTCCTTGCATGACTATATGATGTATAAAAATTTGGCTTCCTCTTTAAAAAAATTAATAAGCAAATCATTCTTCTGGCCCTTTCTGATCCTCCAGAAAATCATGTTATTTCTTTACTCTGTCTTATTGCCATCTTTGAAAGCCTTATTTTTGATTTTCAAACAATTTAGGAAAGCTGAAGCAGAATTTCTACATTTCATTTTTGTACCATAACTCTGTGACTTGTCAAAGTAAATTAAGATGAAAAATATTTTTATTCTCATGTTTTTTAAGTGAATGGACTGTGATTGAAAGACTATTTGAAAGTAGCATAAAGAACTTGTACTTTTTTTTTTTTCTGGTACCTGGAATCAGACTCAGGACTTTGTGCTTTCAAGGCGGCGGCACCACTGAGCTAAGTCCCCGGCCTAAGAACTTGTATTTTTAATTCATTATCCAGATATTTTGCACCTCTTAAAAATGCACACCCATAAGTGATAGTTAATGGTTTGAAATTTAACAAATATGGCTAGCCTCTTAATCTTTTAATAGCAAACCTCCGTTTGTTTTTCATTTAGGTTGGGTGTTGAAAACAAAGACATATTTTAGTAGAAATTCCCCTGTGTTGTTGCTTGGAAAATGTTACCATTTTAAATATGAAGGTAAGTCCCAAATTTGTAAACCATTTAAAAATCTATGAATAAATTCATTGTTAAGCTTTTTTTATCATTAAGTTTATTGGTACATTTTAGGTATACAATACAATAACATTCATCATTGGGAATTTGTACCTTTACATGATATATCTTGGTTCTTATTTTTTCCCCCATTCCCCTGCCCTCCCTTCAACCCCTCC